GCGAAGCACTCGCCGAGTGGGAACCTCACTTGCGATTGTTCCTGGCAGCCTGGATAGACCCAGATCGTGTCAATGATGGGAAAGGCAAGACGGGCATCGTCGATTGCGCCGGAGCTGGAGCAAAAGCGACATTAGCCGTGCTGGTTAACAACAACACGGACCAGGGATAACCAGGGAAAAGACGGCTCACGCTCCAACTCTGGGCTTATCGGGGACAGCGACCTATATCAGAAAGGAGATGAGTGACGGCGCTTGGCAAAGAAAGACGAGATGCCAAAAACCACGCATTTCGAGACTGGTCTGCTAGACTGGCCTGCTGCCTCAACATATGCCGTCTGCCAGTCAGCCATTGTGCGCCGAGAGTTTCTTTTTTTGGGGCAATCCTACTGTGGCTGACGATGCTTCCCCTCTTGTTTCTTCTTCCAGAAACCGCCGGGTGGGATGACGGATGATTCCCCCTCCCTTTCCTCACGCCATTGTCTCTGGACCTTCGTTTTTCCCATGTTTTATATCGCGCTTGTGGCTTGTCTCTTTCATCTAATCGGGGACGGCGCGGCCAATAATCCCCCGCAGCTCCAGTGTCAGCCCTCGCCATCTCATGCTACCATCGGAAACTAAGGTAGCCAGAGCCTCTCGGCCCAAGATTCTTTCGTCTACGGCTACCTACGAGAGTCTACGGGGAGGAATTATCGAGTCTAGCTGGCACGACATGGAGACACAATCGAATCAACGTGGTCGATTGGAAAGTCGAGTTTGATTGCCACAGGCAGTACGACTTCTGCCGCGGTGCTACAAGTACAAGCAACACAAGGAACGACGAGGTCAGAGAGTACATACATAGCCGTCGCATCGTCCGGTCATGATCCAATTCTCTGACTGGCTCTGTGCACTGGCAGAACAGACACGTACATACAGCGGCAGCGGCAACTGATGAATGGGACGACAGAGCCCTGCATCTCACCTGCTCGTGTCGTGCAGTATTGGTACTTTGTCCACCACCAGCGCAATTCTACGGTCCAGCACATGGGAACGCACGCGCTGAACACACATTGACACGGCACGGCAGCAGCAGCAGTAGCAGCAGCAGCACATCACAGATCCCGAATCATCTCGTCACCGCGGGCCTCACTCCCCTGCCGCCGCGGGCTCCCAGTCCTGGTCCCAGACTCCCAGGTCTCCAGTCAGGATCCCAGACCACACCAGACCCGGACTCTGTCCAGTGTCCCAGGAGCGCACGCCCCCCGGCACGGACAAGGGTAGCTGCCAGTGTTTCGTTCCGAGCGCTCCACCACGGCATCCCTCCCACATCCTTGTCACTGCCGTCCTTCGTTCACTCGATACTTGAGTCTGGGTACGGAGCAGAGACCCAGAGACCAGAGGAAAGGGACCAAAAAAAAAAAAGAAGAATCCACCGGCCGAGGTGTGTGCGTAAGGTACGAATAAACTCGCTCGGTCTGCCGTTTGCCCACGCGACGCTGGACTCTACCCTCACCCACCTCCCCGACAGGGAATGCCATCTAACCCCCAACCCAGGCACCGCAACGCACCGCACACAAAAACGCGACCACGACCGCCTACCATACTTTATTCGTTTGGTTCCCAGGTTTCGTCCTTCGTCTCCTCTACTTACACCTACACCTCTTCCCTCAACCCCCTTCCGTTCTTTCTCACCAACTACTATTCTCTCGTTAAACCCACGACTTGAACATTCGCTTCACCCAATCCCCATCGACAACATTGGGCCCATTACACCGGCCATCTGGACCATCTCGACCAACCCGGTTCCATAGTGAAGCCTCGCTGCCCAGTGCTCGGCATCCTATTCGTCAACGCAAACGACAACACCCCATTCTTTACTCGCCCTGGACAGAGAGTTTCTATACGGAGCTCTCCTACAGATCGAATCATCAACAGTGCTCATGTACACGGCTGGTCAACCGCGTCCCGATCTCACCTCGTCTAGTCATAAACTCTGTGGAATCAAGTCGTCGACACGTCACTTACACCCACCGTCGACTCACACCAGTGACCCAGCCTCATCGGGGCCCAGTCCTCATCGATTCACCAGTCTTTAGTCCTGACAAGCCGTTTGTTCGCCGTCGAGAACAAACAACCGATCCACCGGTCTCTGGCAGACCCATCTGCAACGCCTCAGCCGAACCGGTCTCCGTGTCAGCGGCGTAGGAAACCTCAGCTTCATTTTCCGCTCGTATTCGATTCCCACCCGGCTTTGAAAGCCCCAACTTCACCATGGGCCTGCCTCGAGCTCTTCCCATTGCGGCCGGCGCGCTGGCTCTGATTGCCACCATCACGATTGTCATCATCCACGTCGTCCTCGCCGCTCACATCGCCGATGCGGCGCCTGTCCGCACGTCCTCGATTCTGTCTTCGATTTTGGAAAGCATTCTCTTGGTATTCTTGGGATGGATCTTGTCAACCAACTTGGTTGCCAAGTTCAGGAATTCCTCCAAGCGCTTCATCAGCGCCATGTTTGGTGCGAGTGTCCTCGTCTGCACCATGGCCACTGCTGCGTCGGTAGCCACCATGATCTGCCTGAGCAACGCCACGAGGGACTTGGCGGGTACCGTTCTCGGTGCGACCCAGACGAGCTTCCTCATCGCTTCGTCCGTCGCTCTCGGTCTCTGCTTTGCTTGTCAGCTCATCTTCATTGTCATTCATTTCGTCTTGGCCCGCCTCGTTGCCCGCGACGAGTCAGGCTCCATGCACTCGGACGAGGAGTCCCAGAGATCTCCCAACGTCCACATCAAGTCGGTTCCCTACCACCGTACTTCGCCCACCTTTAACGGCAGGAGCCGGTCCACCTCCATGGGCTCGCAAAGTCCGCCTCAGTCGAGCAGCGGTCATTCCGCCACCGACACACTGAGCTCGTTCCGCTCCTCGTTGTCCAACGTCGTCCGACCCATTTCCTCCCGAACCCGCCTGCTTCCTCTGCGGGAGAAGCGTCGGGCAGAGTCGATTGACTCGAACCACTACCGCTCGCGTTCGAGCAGCGTCAACGAGGATTCGTCCTTTGACTCGTGGGACACGTCTTCGGTCGACATGCAGAGCCGCATGACCGTCCTCGGCACGTCCTCTCCCCCCGGCAGGTTTTTGGAAACGATCCCTGCCAGCCCTACTACCAGCCGCAGTCCCAGCCCTGGAACCCCATTGGATCTGGACCTGGAAGCTCCGCGCACTCGTCGTCGGAGCCGCAGCTACAGCCCCAGCCCCATGGGCAGCCTCCGCAACCCTGAGCCTACCTTTACGCTGCAGACTTCTGCTAGCGAGTGCTCTCTGCGTCGCCCCGAGCCCGCCTTCACCATGCAGGGCTCGGCCAGCGAATCTCACATTCACCCCCTATTCCGGTCTGACTCTCCAGACCCGCCGCCGATGGTGACACCCGGCACGGTCGTCACCGCGGCGCCAGACGCCGGCCGCGTCATCTCGGATCGACACAGCGTCCGCCGCATGCGCAGTGGCAGTCTGCCCGGAGGTCCTAGCCCCCTCAGCCGCACCAGCAGTTATGACAACTTTTTCCCCAACGGCCAGCCGCCCGTGAAAGAAGAGAAGGAGGAGCTCCCATCACCCCAAGAGGAGGACGAAACACTCGGTGAGAGACAGATGACGCCCCCGATCCCGGAGTGGATCCTAACCGCCGGAGCCAGGACGAGCCTGAACGGGTACCAAAGTCGGAAGCTCCGCATCGACGGGGACGCCGAGCAAGAGCAATCATGATGAAGGAGGGATGCACCAACGGCAACAAGAGGTGTGTCCAAGGAGAATACCTGACCCGGCGTGGTCTTCATGAATGTCTAATTGCTATTTTGTCCTCGACGACAACAAGGGAGTACGAACTCGGGCGGTGATACCATATTTGAGGGATTTTATTTTCTTTGTCTAGCGCGGCGTTGTCCTGGGAGGCAGAGTAGGAAAAAAAAGATCCAACATCGAGTGGCCAGAGAAGCCGCCGACAAGCTAGGATAGATGGCTACAGCAGCTGAAAACAATTTAACGAGTAACGAAATTTGGTGTCTTTTTGATGAGTGGTCAACGTTTGGTGAAATGATGCTGATATAGGACGTATCGGAATATGGATGATCCCGCGCCGCGACGCATGGCCTTCCCGTTGCGGACCCGGCCGTGCTATGCACGGACCTCAATGATGGTCCCAGGCGTTCCTGCAAGTATCCAGGAGGGAGAGAGACACTTTATTTGAGCCGGCAGACAGGGCAGCTCAGGCAGTGGCCTGTGATATCATGCGAGAGGAGTACAAGCTTTAGGCCTACGGGTGTGGCCACCTTTGATCAAGTCTTTGTGTGTTGCTCTTCAACGGTCGGTGTCCATTGTCGACGTGGCTAGGAAGCGAAGAACCCCAGGAGTTGGTGCAACACCCCGCTTTCCGTGAGGTCAGGTAGCTGTCACCAAAAATTTCTGCAGACTATGCAGATGACTTGGCTGCTGGGTAGGTATCCGTACATGGGCGAATGAATGGAAGCGCGAGGCAAAGCGAACAGGAAGCTCGAGTGCCATGTTTCCCCAGTGCCTGTCCATCCAATGGCTTTTTGGGGGTGTTCTAGACTACCTGCGTACCTTAGGGCAGGTCTTTCGAAAGGTCGCTCCCCTCATGTCTTTCTTACCTCATCTCGGATGCCTAAGCAAACCACCAGCACAGTTGGTTACCCACGCAGTGCCACAGCACCTTGAGATCAAGTTGCACCGCCACTTGTGTATGTACAAAATAAACAGAGTTTGGCTAGGAGAGAAGCCACCCGATCCAGACAGAGACCGATGCGCTAGGCCGTTGCTGGTGCTCTTGCCTGGCTGACGGTGGTAACCTGGAGTGGAGAGGCCGGCGAGACTACGGAGTACCTTAAGGGCCATTGCTTGTTCACCACCACTGACCACTAACCACCGACCATTATGGACGGGGACGGAGAAAGGACGTGGGAGTTGTGGAAGGTACCTCAGCCAACCAACTAGAACCGCCTGCCCGCCGCCTTCCCCCACTGCGCAGCAACCAAACACTGACTTCAGGTCACCACTCGCCTTCGTCATCTCCATTAATTCTGTACCTTGCCAGTCTTTCCCGCGCACACAACAAAACACCAAGGTGACGGGTTTCTCAATCTTTCACCCACTTGCTACTGCGCATCGATCCCCAGCGCACCCATCCTCCATCACCACTCTCAATCTTCCCTTTATTTTTCCCCATCAAGTCAGCACCCCCAGCTCGTCCCTTGTGATTGCAGCCTTTTTGCTGCCCCGAAGCTAGCCACGATGAAGGTCACATTCAAGGTATGCCCAGCTCCGAGCCTACTCCCCACCACCACCGGAGACATGATGGCCTTGCGCGCCTCACCACAGCTTCAACCTCGAGCTCATACTAACCATTTTGGCTGTTTTCCAGGACTTGAAGCAACAAAAGTTCACGCTTGACGTTGAACCCACTGACCTTGTGCGTCCTCACCCCCACTTCCGCCTCCGAGATGACCCTCCACGGCTGCCTTGCGATGTCCGACCTCGAAAACTGACGAGATAAACAGATCTCGGTTGTCAAGCAGAAGATTGCTGGAGAGAAGGGATGGGACCCCAAGGACCAGAAGCTTATCTATTCTGGTAGGCAACCCCGCCACCTGGAGGAAGGCGATGGCTCTGGCTGATAGCTACACTAGGCAAGATCCTCAAGGACGACGACACGGTCGAGTCCTACAAGATTGAGGAGAAGGGCTTCGTCGTCTGCATGGTCAACAAGGTCCGTAGCTTCGACGACGATACCCGCGCCTGCTCGAGTCTACCCTGCTGACGATCCAACAGCCCAAGGCACCCAAGCCCGCTCCCGCCGCCGAGTCCTCGTCTGCGCCCGCCGTCCCCGCCACGCCCGCTCAGCGTGTCGCCGCCACGCCAGCTGCTCCTCCCGCTCCCGCTGCCCAGGCTGCTGCCCCGGCCGCGGCTCCCGCTACGCCGACTCCGGCTGCTAGATCTACCGGTGGCGATGCCGGCAACAACGACCCTTCAATGGCCATGGGCGCTCAGCGCCAGGAGGTGATTGCCAACATGGAGGCCATGGGTTTCGAGCGCGCCCAGATCGACGCCGCCATGCGTGCCGCCTTTTACAACCCCGACAGAGCCGTCGAGTACCTGCTCAGCGTGAGACCCGATACCTCGAGGACTTGGTTCGCCGGACGCTGACAATGACTAGGGCATCCCCGAAGACGTCCAGGAGGAGCAAGCACAGCGACAGGCCGCTGCCGCGGCACCCGCCCAGCCTTCCGGTGGTGCGCCGGCCGGTGGTGATGACGGCAACGTCAACCTCTTCGATCTCGCTGCCCAGTCGCGTGGTGGAGGTGGCGGCGGCGGTGGTGGACGTGGCGCCTCCGCCGGCAACACCCAGGCCGCCGCCGCTGCTGCTGCCGCTGCCGCCGCCCAGGGTGGCTTCGGCAATCTGGACTTCCTCAGAAACAACGCCCAATTCCAGCAGCTCCGCCAGGTTGTCCAGCAACAGCCGCAGATGCTGGAGCCTATTCTTCAGCAGCTCGGTGCCGGCAATCCCCAGCTTGCGCAGCTCATCGCCAACAACCCCGACCAGTTCCTGCAGCTTCTCGGCGAGGAGGTTGACGACGACGTGCCTCTACCCCCCGGTGCGCAGGCCATTCAGGTCACCGAGGAGGAGCGCGACGCCATTGAGCGGGTGGGTGTCTCTTGACATTGTATGGAGATTACGATGCTGACTACTTTAGTTATGCCGACTCGGCTTCGACCGCGATGCTGCCATCCAGGCCTACTTTGCCTGCGACAAGAACGAGGAGCTTGCCGCAAACTTCCTCTTCGATCAGCCCGATGACGACGATGCGCCCCAGAACTAAGCCCGACTCGCAACGACCGCATGACGACACAATCTATGACAGAAACGCAGGGCTCAGGAATTACCGGACGGGGTTGGCTCGACGACGTTGACGTGAGGAAAAGACCTCAGGATACCTGGTCCGGAAGGGCGGTATCCCCATCAGCAAGGCGGGCAAGTGGCCGCGTGGAAGTAAATGATGCAATTCTTTTTTCGGTAGAGCTGGCGTGGAGGCAAGCAGTCTGAGGAAAATATGCGTGAAATGATCTGAACGCATACGGAGGTCGCAAGCTACTCGCGGTTACAACTGCTCATGCTTGTGTTTGACCAGGATTGTTCCTGTTCTGGCTTGGGAGAGAGCGTGGCGTCAGTCCTAGGTAGCCAGGCCGGGTAGCACCGGGTAATTCAACTCTTCAGTGCCATATTTCGGTCTGTGGCGCATTTGATCATGTGAGTGAGGCCAAAGTGAATTGGCCTCAGGGCGGCTCCAGGGGTAGTCCAAGGGCCCTCTAGCATTTGGCCTCACGTCAGAAGGCACTACAAAAGAACGCCTACAGCTCGCCTTTCCATGGGCGAGTTCCTGTTTCTCCTGTATACTTACCTGCCTGACGACTTCCGGAGATCAAGAGCACCGGGTCGTGGAGGAGGGGGACCTGCATTGCACACACACTTCTGCTGACCCGCAGTAGAGTGAGTACCGCGGTCGTGCCCCTCGCCGTGTGGGGCTCCTTTGCGGGAACCGTACCAGGTTTAATTTTTGATTTTATTGTTTTTGACGTTTCTTCACGTCTGCACACACTGTTGCTGTCTTTTCTCTTTTCGTTGAGGCTGTTGCCTTGGGCGGCGGTATGAGGAAGAAGGGTGTGTATGTGGTTTGGTGTTGTTAATTTTGATGGGGGAGAGGTGGGGGTCGTTTACGATGGGGTTGAGTTTGTCGTGGATAGGTGGTCACAGATGCAGTCTGGGTGGTATTGTATCATAGAACGAACAGGATACTTGTCAGAGTTCTATAAAATGATTTGAATTTTTTGGAATGTGCTTCCAAGACGACGATGTCTCGGTTCCCTAGCCGTTCCTTTCGCCCTAATTCCCGAGTTCCCTTCGCTGCGATAATAAAAAGAACCACTGAGATACCAAACGCCGCCTCATTGCCCATAGGGCCCCTGGTGTAATAGTAAGAAAAAAAGGGTATCTGTCTGGTAGGACCGGGGGAAGCCAGCCGTCCGCCCTGCCGTGAACCTTGGCCCCCCGGCCCCCGGTGCGTGATGTGTACACCTCCGTGTGCTCAGTGAATAATCTCGCCGCGCATGTTGTACTCCACAGCCTTCTTCTTCGTCTTGCCCGCGCCCCTCTTCTTGCGTCCCGCGTCGGGGTCCATGTTGGTCTCGTCAATGGTGATCATGCCGTCCGCGTCGACCGTGATCTGGGGACCGACGTTGGCCTGCTGCCTCTTGGGCTTGGCGCCGCCGCCGCCAGCAGCACCCGCTGTAGAAGCCTCGCCTCCAACATCGCCTCCGCCCTCTTGCTTGTCCTGCAGCGAAGCGAGGTTCCTGGCATTGATGGCGTCCTTGGCCGCCTTGATCTTGGCCTGCTCGGCGTCGAACTCGGCCTGCTGCGCGCGCTGCGCCGCCATGATGGCCTCGACGGGCTCGTACTCGGCCTTGGTCCACGTCTTGTACTCCTCCAGGTCGATCTGCAGCTCCTTCTTGCCGACGAGGATGGCGTCGATGCGCGCGGGCCGGTGGCGCTCCTCGCGGTTGAACTTCATCTTGACGTGCCGCCGGTTCTTGCCGGGGAACATGCCGCTGATCATCTGGAAGTCGGTGCCGAACATGCGCAGCCCGCGGTAGAACAGCTCCGTCTCCTCCTCGTTCCACACGTTGGGGCCCTTGAGCTTGGAGCCCGTGCGGTAGCTGTTCTGCGTCGTCAGCGTCGTGAAGTCGTTTTCTTCAATCTCGAGCATGTCCTCGCCCTCGGCGGCCGCGGCGGCGATGGCGTGTCGGTCGAGGCTGAGGGAGTTTTGGTCCACCACAATCTGTCCGTCAATGATTTGGAACTGGGGGCCGGTGGAGGCCATGCTGGTCGGTTTTGGCGGTGGAGGGGCCGCCGGCGTGGGCTTGTCGCTCGTCGGTGCCGGAGTCCCGCTCTCCGAAGCCACGTCCTCCGAGCCGTTCCTCTTGGCCTTGAGTCTCTCTCTGGACTTTGCCTGCTTCTCGCGGTGGCGCTGAAGGAGCTCGTCGTGTCTGCTGAACTTCTTACCGATGCGCAAGTCTCGTGTCAAATCGCCCATGGTCAGCGTGGTGAGGTCGGCCTCCTGGTCCTCCGCATCTTCTGGCGTCACCGAGCGGGCTTGCCGAGGCCGTGCTGGCTTGTTGGCAGTAGTAGCGGCATCCGTTTCTCCTTCTTCCGTGGTCTTCTTCTTTCTCGGCCGAGGCGGTCGTTTCGGCGCGGCTTCCCCGTCTGCCGGCTGCTTTCGTTGTCTTTTGGGTTTGGGCGCCGCAGCACCGTCTTCGCCCTCCTCGGCAGTCTCGCTCGTCTGGGTTGCTCGTTTTCGAGGTCGCTTGGCAGGTGCCTTCTTGGCGGTAGTCGTTGATGTGTCGTCTGTTGCCGCTGTCTGCGCCGCGTCCTCTGTTGAAGGCACTACGTCGGCCGAGGGAGCAGTGGCGGGCGGAGTCTGGAGTTGGGCTGGTGTCGATGCCTCGCTGACGATAGCCTCTGCAGCAGGAGCGGGCGTCGCGGACGGTGGCTGCGGACGACTTTGTGTTGGCGGCTCTGTGGACTGATCTGCTCCAGCTGATTCCACTGTGGAAGCAGGTTTCGCAGAGGATTCGCTCGTCGTGGGTTGTGTCTGGGGCGTGGCAGCCTTCGTCGTTCTCGGCTCGGTCGATGGCGGGGTACTCGTAGGCACGTCTCTGGGCGTATCTCTCGAATCGGCTCGTTTCTCGGCGGTCGATGGCGCTGTTTTCTCGGTAGGTTCGCTCGAGCTACCCTCTGCTGCGGGCGCAATTGCGGCGGCAGTCGTCGACGGGGCTCTCGATGGCTGCGGTGCTGCTGCTCCTGCTCCAGGCGCTCGAGGACGGGCCATGGGCATTTTTGGCTTGAAAGCCATGCCGGCCTTTTTCTTGAACATGGAACTCATGATGGCGATTGTGTCTAGTCTTTTTCTCTTTTTTATCGGCGCGGTAATATCCTCATGATCGGGGCTGAGGTTGAAAGTTGGATCTGGTGGATTGTCACTTTGCGAGCCAGACTTTTTGCCAACCGCGGCGGGACAGTGACTGAAGTGGGTGGGATGCAGAGAAAAAGTGCTTCTGATAAGTAGATGCGGGACCCGACAATTAGCCGGTACGTGCGCTGTGCAGTACAGCGCGCGGGGCGCCTTACTGGTTGATAAGACCATGGATGGCCAGCGCAGCGCTAGTCCCGTTTGGGGAGTGGACCGGCTGGCTTGATTTGAACGTGAAGCGTCGGCGTTCAACCTCGAAAATTCAACCTCCTTGTCCCAAGTATTCCTCATCCATCATCCGCGCCGAATCAGCACAGCACGACTCTGTCGACCCTCGCATGGCTCGGATCAATCCCTAAGCACGTTGAGCTGTCCCACGCAGCGCATTTTATCGCCCTTGCCCGACCCTCGGACGCATACACCGTCTCTGCATCCTCCTACCTTTCTCATGCCTGTAGCGACCTCAGCCCCGACTGCCTCTCCGCGTCCGTCCACCTTGGCCAAGATGGAGGACAGGAAGAGACCCCCCATCAGCACCGCCGAGGACCTCGCTCCTCCGAGCAAGCGACATCAATCCGTCAATGGAAGCAAGTCCAAGGGCGATAGTGGCGACCACGCCGAGGAACACTGGATCGAGGTAAGTGTCACGAGACACGTATTCCCCAACACATCAAGTTTTCTCAACAATCAATGGGCCCCTACGCGATTCCCTTGTGCCATCAATGGCGACGCGACATCTCGATCATCGACTGCCCCCAGCCACGCTCAACACTGGCGGACCACGATCGACTGGCCTGGAATGGCCTTTCGATCCGCCGTCGAGGGCGACGAGGCTGCCTGACGGTTCTCCGTCTCCCTGTCCACGCATCCGACCATCCCACACGCTTTTCATCGCCTGGTGCGAAAAGAATACATGGAGAGGGCGCGAGCTGATGATGAGTTCAGAACTACCAAAAGGGCGCCATTTACCGGCAACTTTTAGAAACAAAAAGGGAAAAGCAAGAGTTTGAGTCACGCGTCGAGCAATTGCAAAAGAATATTGTGTATCGCGAGGATCATATCCGCATCATTGAAGTATGGTGGAAGCAGGTCAGTCTGATTGATCCCTTGACTCGGTCGCATGGCTGACCCCCTCACTAGGTTCTAGAGGAGATGGAGCAGCTCGTGGACCCTGCAACACCACCCTCCGGCCCAACAAGTGAGTGCCCTTGTCGCATCCAACCTCGCCATGAGACTGACAGTCCAGACCCTCCGTACATTACCAGCACGCACTTTAAAGATAACGACGAGTTCCAAAGGCATCTTGATGAGACAGCCTCTGATATTAAGAAGCGAGCCGAAGCTGTGCTCAATCGCATCGCAAACGCCAGGGGAGAAATTACGCCAAATATTGCTGACCTTGAGACTCGCGTCAACAGCCTGCTTGCGCAGCAAAAGGATTATCTGGTCAAGTTGGACCGTGCACAGCAAGAGAACGAGCAGCTATCAGAAGACCTCAACAAGGCCAGCCTTCGCTTCTTCAAGGCCGAAAAGCGCATGGACAGATTGAAGAGCGCGCAGGTCCAGAAGCTCGAGCAGCAGTTCATCGCCAGCGCCAAGCCGACAATCGCAACAGGGGAGAACGGACAGGATGCCGCCGAGGCAAACGGTAACGCTGCCGAGGCACTGCTCAAGTTTGAGGAGGCGTCGGCGGTCGTCAACAAGCAGAAGGAGCAGCTGGAATCTGCACAAGCCGATATCAAGACCCTGCAGGAGGAGAATTCGGCGCTAAAGGCACGACGCGAAGGCCTCACCGACGAAGATTTCATCCGGACCGACGTGTTCAAGCAGTTCAAGAACCAGAACGAAGACTTGATCAAGCGCGTCAACCACCTGGAGGCCACGAACAAGCAGTTGCGAGAAGAGGCCGAAAAGCTGCACTCGGAGCGGACGGCCTTCCGGACCAAGCTCCACGACGAGGCGCAGACGATAACATCGGACCTGGAGCGCCAAGTCGAGGAGCGCGACGCAGACCTCACACGAATCCGCGCCGCCCGGGACGAGTGGTACGCCAAGGCCAACATGCTGGAAACCCGAGAAAAGGAGGAGAAGCAGGCGCTGCAGCATCTCAAGGAGCTCACGGGTGCCCAGGAGGACCGAATTGCATCCTTGGAATTGGAGCTGCAGCGTCTGAAGCCCGAAGACCAGCCGATGGCGGACCCCGACCCCGAATTGGAGAGCATGCCCGCAGATGAACTTATTTCAAAGTACAAGAAGCTGCAGCAAGATTTCGAGTCCATCAACAAGGAGTTGCCCGCTCTCCAGCAGGCGTACAAGCGATCGATGGGTCTCGCACAAAAGAAGGTGATGGAGTACACGGTTCTCGAGGACCGGGCAGCGGCCGCACTCGCCGAGAAGCAAAAGGTCGACCAAAAGTACTTTGCAGTGAAGAAGGATGCGGACATGAGAGACCGCGAACTTGGCGTGCTCCGAAGCCAGAACCGCAAGAGTTCCGAGATTGTTGCGCAGCTCAAGGAGGTGGAGGCGCAAAACCGGATACTGATTAGCAACCTGGAGAAGCAGCTCTCGGACCTGAAGCAGGCCAACGCGGCAATGGCTGCAGAGCACAAGAAGATGGAGTCGAGCAGTTCCGACGCGGCACGCCGGGTCGATTCCTACAAGAACCAGATTGGCGAGTTGACCAGCTTGGTCAAGTCGCGCGACGCCGCCATGGCTGCGGCCAGGGAGCGCACCACAACCCAGGAGGCGGACGTTGAGCGCCTCAAAGTCCGCGCCGACATGATGCAAAAGGAAAAGGACGAATGGAAACGCAAGGCGTTGAGCAACTCGTCGGAAGAAGAAGAGATGCTCAGAGTGAGTCCCCCATAACGCCCAAGGTAGAACGAAAGCTAATTGTGAGCAGACCTTTGCACTCTGCACAGTGTGTCGGAACAACTTCAAAGATACGGCCTTGAAGACGTGCGGGCATCTTTTCTGTCACCAGTGCGTAGACGACCGGATCAGCAACCGAATGCGCAAGTGCCCCAACTGCTCGAGGGCCTTTGACCGGCTGGACGTCATGTCTGTTCACCACTAGCCGCTGCTGTGCGGCTTACTACCCGACTCGGCTCACGTGTCGGCTGCTGTTTTAATATGCTTCAGAGACGTTTGCGCAGCTTGGAGTTTGCTTCCGTGGCAGGGGATTTCATGGTATGATACCTTTAAGACGCTCGCGATTGGAAATGATGGATCGTTGTATTTTTACGTGTATGGAAGACGGCCTGGACCTCGGAAAATGTACATAATGTCGTGTCCCCCACCTCCCCTTTGGGGCTGATCACAAACTAGTTATTGAAGGAGGCGGGCCAGAGGAGCATGTACGAGACCACGTGGAGGACAGGATAGACCTAGAGTCGAGCTGGCTCACATGACGTTCAAATTACTCTATGCCTACTTTCAAGTGTACTATCTCCTGCTGGTCGACCCAAATCCGGTGCTTTCATGACGGGTCGAGCTTGAGGAGGAGCTGGTTGACCTCGACGGGCCAGCCCCGTAGGAACCGGAACCGCTGGTCGTGTCACCGCCCCATCCCGAGCCGTAGTTTTGCTGGTTCCGCGCGCTGTTTCTGCCCTGGTAGTAACCCGCGCCGTAGCCCGCGGCTCCGCCAGCCCCCGCGCCAGTCCAGAAGCCAGGGCGCCATCCCTGCTGGTTGCTTGAGCTGGAGGGTTTTGTGCCTGGGTAAGGCGGGGGAGGATCGTCGTCTTGACCGAAGCCGGGGTTCCATCCGCCTCCGCCACCTCCTCCGGGCCCACCACCGCCGCCTCCACGGCGCCGACCGGTTCCACCAGCCCTTCGATTTTGAGTGCCGGCCACGCACGCCGAGTAGAGAATCCAAGCCAGGACGGCGAAGAAGATAACGCCAAAGACATAGGCTCCCCAGTCCGTCCCTTCGTCATCGTCACCACGGCCGCCACCGCCACCGCCACGTCCCTTGCCCAGATTCGGATACCGCCTCTCGCCCTTGTCCGTGAGAGCGAGGCGGTACTCGACGCCGCAGCTGCCGCGGAGGACGTATGGGTCGTCGGCGTTGGCGTAGCCTTCGCACACGACGTCCGTGGACCCGAGCTTGAGCTCCTCGGGCAGGGAGGCGGCGCAGGACCACTGGATGTCTTCGGGGCCGTAGCCGGCGCCGTTGTTGGTGCAGCGCATGACGTCGATGGCGTGGAGGTTGCAGAGGGACGGGTGGGAGAGGCACTTGAGCTGGGGCGCGGCGGGGACGCGGCGGTGGGTTGTCGTTGCGCCGCCGCCGCGGAGGGTGAGGGATTGGACTTTGGAGAGGAGGATTGCGTCTTTGGAGGGGGGTTTGGCGGCGGCGGCGGCGAGGCCTGCCATGCTTATGATGAAAGGGTGTGAGAGATGCATTTTTTTTTGTGAGTGATGTGAGATATGGAGTGTTGGTGTTGATGGTGTTGCTTGTTGTAATGTGACGTCGCTTTCGAGTTTGTCCCGCGTGGTGGCGGGTTGCGTGGTTCGCCGCGATGGGAGGTAGGCAGACAACTTCGCGGTAGCCCTGGTGGTGATGAGAAGGTTCGGCTATAAGCGAGTAAAGACTGATGTCTGGGTTTGTTAATAAAACCAGGCAGCAAGGTTTATCTCCGAAAAGGACAGGTATGAGGTGAGGCTCAAGTGACCCTCACTGGACCGCCAAGTGACGGTGGCAGCGGTGATGTGGGATTGGGTGCTTTTCGGTGAAGAGGGTGGCGCAGCAGTGGCGAGTGTGTATTGTGGCGCTCTCACAGACCTTTTTGCCTCTCAATCACGTGTCCAATCTACCTTGGTCTAATCATTCTCCACCTTTTGTGTCCTGGGTCAAGTTGATGCGTCCGAGCTCTTTTTTTTTTGGGACTTCCCCATCTCGCAGAAGGAAAAAGAAGAAAAAGCTTGGCAGGCATCGTCGTGCATCGCCAAGACGGGTGACACAGTCTTTTTTTTTCTCCTTCGGGTAAATTGATTAGCACGACTTACTTTTGGAGGTACGCCGCGAGAGCATAGCACTCAGTCAGAGACAAACTTTCAAAGTTTATTACTACGTACAAACATTTACATCTCCCTCCAGGGTCGGTGCTTGTCCATGGTTCTACACACCTTTGCTGACTTCGAACCAGAGCCTGGAGGCTCATTTTGCATGATGGCGACTAGCGAATCTCCGACCAAGGGAAGTTAATCTCATTTTACAGTATCACTGCTCACCGTGATAGGCTGGCACGCTTGGGCTTGTGGATATTAAGCTGCTAGATACGGCCCCACATGCTTCTGGTTTCTACAAATACACTACGGATACTTTAGTATGAAGCATACGGGCAGATCAGCATGAAGCTCGCTCTGCGGGCGAGGGGGCAGCAAAGATACCACCAATTCCACGTTAAGGCAGATCTCGCAGTATCAAGGACAGACATCCTTTTCTACAAGACGGATCTCGCATCGTAGAGACGCGTCGTTCCAATATAAGAAAAAAGGGGAACCTACGGATTCACCTGAGTCAATGCCGCTCTGCCCCAGAGCTCCCCACAGCTACTCCGTACTCCATACAATCAGTCCGCCAGTGAAACGACCAGAACCAGACCAAGGTCCCGACATGGATACCGTCTCGCGTTCGGCTCGGTTTCGGGCGCCAAGCGCAGCTCAGCTCGTCTTTTTCATCGTGTCCCAGATACATGCGATTCCTACCAAGCATCGCCTGTCTAGACGGTGCCGTCAAACGACGACCGGTGGGAACGCGTCAGCCGCACCTTTGGAACATGGAAATCCTCTCGGCATTTAAATTTGGTCCATCAAGACAAGGAAGCTTTTGATTGATGTTCAGATCAGATAATGCAGGTCCGACTATTTCCACTACCCGTTACTTCTTTTCTTTTCAGGCTCCAACATATGCATAGCGAAAAGGGACGGGGGGCCGTGCTCTGGTACATTTCCCCCTCCTGCCTCGTTGGGCCTCCGCAGAGCCTTTCTTTGGCCTGTGGACGTCCCGCCTGTTTGGACGTGGTCCGAGGCTGATGTTGGGGTTCGTCATACGGGCATTCGACTTCGGTCCAGCTCTGCTACTATGAACCCATTCTTGCACCCGCATCTCAACGGTTTTCTAGGTATGGCATGATCAAGGGGACCGACAAGGACAGCTCCGACTACACCAGAAACAAGAGCCTTCGGTCGTGTGCGATAGACTTCGAGCGGCGCCTGGATCTCGCCAACTCGGCACCGACGACGGCGATCCATCGGCAAGAGACTCTGGAGCTGCGAGCGCTGACCCATGGTTTTCCGTGTCAAATGCCAACACCTTGCGCGCTTCGGATGCCACAAGGTTCGTGTGTTCAGGCAGGTTCACCTCTGCGTCCGTTGCTTGGAAAAAGGTTGACCTGTGAAGACATATGCACACCGGATGAATCACCATGCAACCTACCAGGACCACCCTTGATCAGCACCCCCAACTTACAAAAATCCAAGCATTGCAAAGCTGCTGAACATATTGAGTACCTCGCCATGTCTAATCGGATTCTGTCCAGCATGCAGCAGGCGCGTCTTGCCCTGCTCAAGAAGATTTACAAACCAGCCGCCCACTTGCAGAAAGGATCCATCGAGTACGAAAGGCTGGCGCGCTCCGGACGAGTATGGGAAGATTATTTTATGCCCGGCAACAGCCTCAAGATGGGCTACGTCGATGTGCAGCGGAGAATGACTGGTCTGCTGGATGAAATCGATCACCTCAGAGGGAGACTGCCAGTAATGGACCTGGGGAAAACCCTGGTTGCCGAGTACGCCCAGCAGTCCGTAATGATTGAAAACAACCCTCTTTCAGTGACAGACGCGATCCGCATTTCCGACCGCCTGCGAGGTGGCCTTGAACAAGTTGACCTGGCCTCCACGCCCAGCAGCGAGCTTGCCAGACTTGTGACGGCGTGGACTACTCCAAGAGGCGCAGATATCACCGAGTCGGCTACGAATGAGCTGCAGAACCACATCATCGCATCGCAATGGATCGCAGAGAACGCGGCGGCCAAGGCTGGTACGGCGGGACTATGCGAAGCTGAAGTACGAGACCTCGCCGTAGTGTCCGTCGTCAACACAGACTCCGAGTCGGCCTATGACACCTGGAGAACAGACTCAAAAAAGGCTGGCGGCAACTTGGTATGGGGATCGAGAGTCCCGCTGGGAGAGTACCGTAATCTACCCATCAGCGTTCGCAGCAATCGTCTTAAAATCTTTCCGTACCCGCAAGAGGTCCCGGCCTGCATGGAGAGGTTCTTTCAATGGCGAGACCTGCAACATCGAGAAAAGGCGCTGCACCCGCTGATCCTGGCTTGTCAGATGACGGCCTACTTTGTTCTCGTTCATCCGTTTCCCGATGGCAACGGGCGTACCAGTCGCATGGTCAAGCAGGATTACCTGGCGCGTCAGGGCTACGTTCCCGTCGTCATCCGGAACTTACAGCGGGAAGACTACCTGCGGATGATCGACGGCGCCAGCCAAGGCAAACCGGAGGAATTCGTAACAGCGGTGCTTGAGGCTCAACTGGCCGTGTTGCACCAGGCTTCCGCGCGCCTCAAGATGTAGATGGCACACGTGTCACTGCCACTCCACGTTTGATCCGTCCCGGGGTTGCGGTACGTCTTTGGAAGTCATCCGGTCAGGGTAGGGCTCGGAGAATTTGGCGGTGTCTTGTGGCGTCCCGGGAGACCGACGATTGCTGACCGCCGTGGGATAGTGGGTTGTTGAAACAAGCGACGGCTCGCATCTGCTAAGAGAATGCGAGCAAATACGGCCTGGCTGGCCGATCGGGGGACGGCGCCAAAATACCCGCCGTACGGGACAGAGTAGCTGTGCTACGGCCGCGATTTAGTTTAGCGTGAGGCCCCCATCACTAGTACAGTAGCTACGGCGGCGACAATGCACTCCGCGATCCGACTGGCATTGTCTGTCGTCCAGGTACCTAGTTTGCCTAGTAATCAATCACCATCTCCAATCGACCATATCCGAGCCCGCGTATTCAAACGTTACGCGTGCCTTTGTGGTGGCATGAGACCTCGATCAATGACAGCATCTGCGTTCTGTCCAAGGCTCACCCCTGTTGGTGTGAGCGTGAGAGAGCTGCGGGGACCCTTCAAAGTCTGAAATCCAGCAGCTCGTCTAAACCAACAGGTGTTTGAGACGACCTGTTCCATAGGAGACGGCGGCAGTACACCGCTCCTAAGAGTGAGGGAACTTTGAGCCGAGTCCAGATCGTCCCGTCCACAACTCTGGAAGACGACCCATTGGCCGAAGCGTAATCCTGGCAGCCATCACGAATCGCAGTTCAAACTCTGTACCTTTTAGATTGTAAGCACTTGCACTTCGTATCTCGTTCTCAACGACATCGGCGCCCATGGCAGAGTAATGAAGCGTCGTAATCGTCCAGCCGCCGGAACGAAAGAGCCCGGCACGGATACCCGACCCCCAGGGCCAAGGACCGTTTACGGTTTATCCGCTGGGCCCCCTATTGAATCGCTCGCACTCCCCTCCGCAGACCCATAGGATCGGGGCCCGAGGGGACGTTATCGCCGGCGCCTCAAGACTGGTCCGGACATAGGTGGGATAGGGACCCGGCCCGCCATGCCCTTGTCACCGTCAGACGGGCGAAAGATGAGAGAGATTACTATTGTCATCAAAGTAAGGATACTCCGTAGTGTATCGGTAGATTGTTCGTTGGGTGCGCGTGTGCTTATGGCGGGGTATACTCGCTGTAACACGTAGCGACACCCCTCCAAGCTGAAAGAGCAGCAGCAAGGGATGGGTACGCCGTAATGTTCTGGAAGCTGTCCAAGGAACCGTGGATAGGAAATGAAATGGATCGGAATTCGGACTGCTGAAGAAACCCGAGGGAGGGGCAAAGCCGCAGAATAGTATTGCTGGCGGGGGGGAAGCGTAGCGGCGTAGGTCGTTAAGCGAGGCGCTGGGCTGGGTATTACCACGCCGGCTGACTCGACCGGGGGCGGCAGCGAGACACGGGCCTGACTTGGACTACGGTGAGACAGAACGGGTTAGGACGGGTACGAAGTACGCCGTCGCATGTACCTGCTCGCCAGTGCTTACCTCAACAGCAGCTCCCTACCATTGTTTTTGGCTGGTGGATGATCCGAACATGACGTGCAGGTCGGAAGCCCAATGCACGGCTTCTCCGAGACTGTGTTCATTCTCGATTGCTGGACCGGCGTGCTGGGATTGTTTGTCGACACGGTCGAGTGTACGGACGAAACATGATCGGTTGCTGGTAGGAAGCGTTGGGGCCCGGTAAAAGCTGAGTTTTGACTTTGGTCCATTACACGTATATCTCGAGGCGTATCGGGGACGTGGATGAAGCGAGATACGAAGGATTAATCGTAATCATTCGAGTCTGAAGAAAGGAACTTTGGAAGGTGAGGAGGAGGTCCACAAAACGGTAGCGTCGATTCACAAGACGACGCAGTGCTTGCCTGTTTCTGCGTCTGACTAAGGTGCGTGCATGTACTTTGTACCTTGTACCTGCCTCCCGTCTCCAAGGCTCTTTCCCCAGAATATCTCGCGGAAGGCGGCCTGGGCAAAAGTATACCAAGACAGGAAAGAAGGAGCGGAGAAGGGGAAGGAGAGAGCTGAAGCCTGCCGACAACGTGTCCAACTCTTAGCATTACGGAGTTTGCTGAACAATGAAGTACTGCGTATCCGTACCTGAGGTATCCGTAGAGCTGTGTGCGCCAACCGTTGAATCCCGGCCCTCTTGGCTCTTGAACCCCGGGGCAGGCCCGATGTGCAGCGTTGGTTTACTGCGCAAGCTGCGGTATCACAACCTTGGCTGTAATCATCAGTGCGTTGCAACCTGCTGCGGCTCCCACAGCTCGCACTTCGCACTTGATGCCCTGCGAACCCAGCTAGCAAGACCGAATAGGCCAATGTGAGTACTGCGTATACCAGTACGAGTACCATGTACACACCAACTAACGTAGGGGATGAGAGAGCCCTATAGAATCTACCACAGTAAGATAGGATCGTTCCCGGATGACTGTCACCGGCATTGATATCGGCGTGCCCAAGAGGGAAGGGATCGCACGAAACAAGTGCTCCTCTTCATAGCCAACCGTACCAAAGTTCCTCCCCGTTCCTGTCTCTCGTCTGATGATGAGCGGCGGGCCAGTGAGTCAACATGAGATGGACGATAAACACGCATGTAGGCGGCGCGGTTCGGGCATGGTAGAGGTACGCAAGGAACCGAGCTAGTCACAGTTCGGGAAGTTGACAAGAGCGAGGTCAGAACGGGTCGGCTGCATTCCGTCGAATCTCGTCCCAGCCGGTTGCCCCCATTTCTTCCTTGTGCTAGTAGTCGTCTCCTTCTCCTTCTCTCCTGCGGCGTGCCACCCCGGTCACGTCCTACCACTAGGCCCGCCGTCCATCTATATCAAATGTGCACACCCCAGTCCGTCCCTCGCCAAGGTCCTGGGTACTTTTTTTTTTTTATTCTCCAGTCCACGCCTTTGCGACAATTCCACTAATCCCTATCCTGGCCTGCAACCCGAGTGGGAACACGCCTCTTTTCTCTATCCGTCCTCGTCCTTTTTTATTAATTGTCGAGGGAGGCACGTCAAATCGACTGCTGGTGTTGTTTTCCCGCCCTTTCGCCTGTCTGCGCGCGACTACGACGATCCCGACTCCGATCGCCGCAAATTCTTTCTTGGCTTTCGCCGTGGTCGATTTTCTCCGCCCTTCCATTCACTGGTCTGTCTATATATCATAGGATTGATTGTAATTTGGGGGAGAACGATTCGGATCTCGTCGTCGGACCAACCCGCCCAAGCCATAATATACAAGCCACACCAGCGACGACACTTCACGTATAGGAACCCGACAATCGCATCCCAACCAGCTTGCGCACAGCGCATACCGGCGCAACAAGCTTTCTCCACACACTGCGCACAGCTCTGTCAGGAGCCACAGCGCCAGCATGTCTCTCGAAAACGAGAAGCCCGTCGGGGCCAGCGAAAAGTCAACAGAGGTCGCTGAGAAGACAGCCAGCAACGGCCACTCTGACAGGGCATCGTCCCATGGTGACTCGACCGAAGTGGATGCATCGATCCAGCCCAAGAACCAGACGGCCAACATCACCAGCAATCTCGAAAAGGCCGACTCCAAGGCTATCGCACCAAAAGACCCCAGCGATGACCCCTACGAGCACCTGCCCGCCAATGAGGCCGCGATCCTCAAGCGTCAGGTCTTCACGCCCGAAGTCAAGGCCGGCATCATGACCCTGTACCGGTATTCTTCGACCAACGACCTGCTCATCCTCTCCATCTCCGCCTTTACCTCCATCGTGGTCGGCGCCGCACTGCCGCTCATGACGGTCATCTTTGGTAACCTGCAGGGCACTTTTCAGAACTACTTTGCCGGCACGATGTCCAAGGCCGATTTTAACAGCGAGATGGCGAGCCTCGTCTTGTACTTTGTCTACCTCGCCATTGGCGTTTTTGTGTGCCAGTACATCACCACGGTTGGATTCATCTGTAAGTTTGCGCCCCGACGGGAGGATGTGAGTTTAAATCTGACGCAAGACCAAATTTAGACACGGGAGAGCACATTAGCGCAAAGATCCGCGAGCACTACCTCCAGAGCTGCATGCGCCAGAATATTGGTTTCTTCGACAAATTGGGCGCCGGCGAGGTCACGACCCGAATCACCGCCGACACCAACCTGATCCAGGACGGCATTTCGGAAAAGGTCGGCCTCACGCTTGCCGCCATCGCCACCTTCATCTCGGCCTTTGTTATTGGTTTCGTCCACTACTGGAAGCTCACCCTGATCCTCTTGTCCACCGTTGTCGCCCTTCTCCTGAGCATGGGAGGCGGCTCGACCTTTATCGTCAAGTACAGCAAGCAGTCCATCGAGTCGTACGCCCACGGAGGCAGTCTGGCCGACGAGGTCATTAGCTCCATCCGCAACGCCGTCGCCTTTGGCACCCAGGACCGCCTTGCCAAGCAGTACGATGCGCACCTCACAAAGGCCGAGTTCTTTGGCTACAAAGTCAAGTCCGCCATTGGCGTCATGGTCGCGCTGATGATGACCATTCTGTACCTCAACTACGGTCTCGCGTTCTGGCAGGGAAGCAAGTTCCTCATCGACGACGGCATCAAGCTGTCCAACATTCTCATCATCATGATGTCCATCATGATTGGTGCCTTTAACCTCGGAAACGTCGCTCCCAACGTCCAGGCCTTCACCACTGCCATTGCGGCGGCCGCCAAGATCTACAACACCATTGACCGCGTCTCTCCCCTGGACCCTTCCCGCGACGACGGAACGAAGCTCGAGCAGGTCGAGGGCACAATCCGCCTCGAGAACATCAAGCACATCTACCCGTCTCGCCCAGAGGTCACGGTCATGGACGACGTGAGCTTGACCATTCCTGCGGGTAAGACCACGGCCTTAGTCGGCGCCTCGGGCTCCGGCAAGAGTACTATTGTCGGTCTCGTCGAGCGGTTCTACGACCCCGTCCGCGGCTCAGTGTTTCTGGACGGCCACGACATTAGCACCCTTAACCTGCGCTGGCTGCGTCA